AAGGTGATCCTTAGATCCTTACTTCTACATGTGGCAACTGAAATCCAGTTTGGGTCTTGACGTGCTTTGAGAAAACATTAAACTTTGGCTTTAAAGCCTTCGCAGCTGGCCCACCATCAACACCGAATTCATTGAACCTAAAATGTTCATAGTAGGAGAGATGAGAAAGATTTCAACTTTCACATGCACATCTAGGGCTAAAATAGAAGCGGAAATCCATATGCACAACTCTTGAAAGTACCATATTATCAAACAAACTAAATCTGAAAAGTAGAGAAGAAATCAAAAATCGACAACTACTCATAATGTAGATAAAAAGCCAATTTACCTTTTGTTTGATCAACATACCAGAAGTCAGAAGGTAATCAAGGTGATATAACTGTTACATTTAGAATGACTTTACATAATGCTCTCTCTACATATGCATGTCTAATGTAATCATTTGAAGTCCCAGAAGTTGCAGTCGATGACAACATAACAGACATTGGAAAGATATCAAGTCTCAGGAACTCAGATAGATATTGCGATAGTTACTAGATCTAATAAGGAAATAAATTAAATTTCCCTATTAACTCAAAATCTTACACACACAGAGATTGCTGACATAGAACCTAAGTAAACAAGGACACATAACAAAGATAAGGCTAGCATTTTTTGCTTCTAGAGGAAATGATTAATTGCTGCAGAAGAGTAAACAGTTGAAGATCCAAAGTCGACCGTGTTTCCGAAAGGAATCTAAAATTCATTAAAATTATTTAATTACTAGTTAATTATTCAAAAAAAAAAATTCTACATATTTCAACACAATCACCAGCAGAATCAAAAGTCTAAATTATATCTTCTCCTGCTTTAGATTATAATCAGACTATGACAAATGTGGGGAAAAGCAGAACTAGAAATTGGATTCTCAAACACCAAAAATATATTTTTAATTCAGAACCAAAGCCAAGGACTTACATCTTTTAAATGAATGGACACATACTTCGTTAGCAAATTTCAGTTGCAATGTAAAATGAAATAGAAATTGGATGTGTTGATCGAAACTTTCAGCTTCTTAAGAAAGGTATGGTACACAGCTCCTCGGGTAATAAAGTTTGAATAAAGCACACCTCTAATTCAAAACAGGTCCCTGATTGCTTTATTCCCATCAATCATCATAAACTACACTCAAATTATTCTGGAAAGGATGCTTAGCTCTAATGAATGCCATACAGTGGCTCAGATGAACGCCATTGCAACAGCACCATTATTAATTAAAACTTAACCGAGTCACCCCACTTTTCATCATAGAGCCAAATTTACAAAAGAGAAGAAAAGGAAAATAAGATCTCAGTGCCGGATAGAAGCAGAAACGCAGCCGCTAATCTCGGAATTGAAGTAATGCCAGCAGCTCTAGTCAATTCGTAAACTAATTAAAAAAAATATCATAATCACAATACAGTGAATACACAAACACAGAGCCTTTCAACACAAATTTCTTAGCAAGATCATCAGATCCAATTAAATGGCCACAATCACAAACAAGTTAAAAGAAATCCATAACCCCAGATTGTGAAAGGAAACGGGTCCGTGTCGGGTCGACGGGCCGGGCGGCCCTTGGCCATGTCTAACCACAATACACAAATCCAGAGCCTTCTAACTCAAAACTCATTGAAAGGTCCATCAGATCCAATGAAAAATAGCCACAACCACAGGCAATCGACTAAACAGGCTAAAGCCAGCTCTAGTTTCTCTTCATGTTTCACAAAATCCCAACATAAAACAAGAAAAACAGAACAGTGAAATCAAGTACACGCAATTTGAAATGAAAAACAGCTTCACACACTAAAAGTGAAAGGAAACGCAGATCCCTGTGACAGATGAGTCTTACTCTTGGTAAGCAGAGAGAACGAAGATGGAGACGAATAGCAGTCTACCAAGGAAGGAAATAAACGCCATTGACTCTCCTCTCTCGCTCTCCTCTCGGGTTCTCGGTTAGTAGAGTTGAGTATGTTCTTGCTGGATAGGCCGAGGAGAGAGAGATTCTTGGGGCTGCACTTGCTCTTGTTCTCTTCACTTCTACACCGTTTAGTTTATTAGTTTATTGACCAACATTATTGTTAGGGCTTTGGAAATATAAATATTATTTTAGCTAAAATAATTTAATGTACTAAAATATTAATTAAATTACATGCATATGGAAATATAAATATTATTTTAGCTACTCATTATGATAGTATTCTATTTAGGGAGATGTTACGGTTCCGTTACGGAACTATTCCGTCGTTTCGTAACCGTTAGATCAACTTTCTCCGACGGTTACATGATGATCTAACAGTTACAAATCTCGACAGAATGGTTCCGTAACTGGATCGTAGTATTCCTCATTCTATTTATTTATTTTTTTCATAAGCGATAAATATTTATTAATGCAGCAAAATAAAAGCAAAGTCATCACAAACACTTGGTCTAAACGGGACCACCTTTTTTTATAGGTGAAAGTCACTATAAAGGGAGAGCCCAGACGAAGACCAAGTGAAGTTTATCCCAAAACTAATTGGTGGAAGGAGAATCCCACTAGACTTATAAGTTATGCCTATTTTTCCTGTATAAACGACATGAGACAACTCACAAGTGATATTCTAAAACCATTCCTAATTACAACATGAAACAACTGCATCTATACTAGATTGTCCAGCACTACTATCAAATTAATCTCAATTCCAAAAACAATTAGACAATTACAAAAACACTAACACTAACAAGTGATTAGTCCTACTAACCTTATTATTCCCACCTGACTAGATCCAATTCTGAATTTTGTTTTTTTTTTCAATCGATATATTGTTATAAATATATTAATATGAACATTACTAATATATGATTGGGCCTGAAGTCCATTAGTCAGTAGGATTAGGTTGTAGGGCTTCCCTCTTGTAAACCCTATAAAAGGGTGATTATACCGATGAATAAGAGACAGACTTTTCTGCTTCTCTTTTCTCGTTCTTTTACTGCACCTCTTTTATGCTTGGATTGATAGATGCTTGGTGAATATTGAGGACTCCAATTTACAACATATATAACCATTTTATTACTGCAACATTGTACAAGAGCAAATTACATAGACTCCTTGGGATTACAAAACAAACCAAGGAGAGGAATGCAAGGCAAAAGACAAAAACTACCAATACAGAATCTACTACCACACCAAAAAAAAAACAAACTACACCTTCCAAAAGAAACACAATACAGAAAACAACACCTCAATGTAAAATCGTATAATTTTGGGAAAAAACTCTCAGCTCGAGTTTGGGAAATTTTCTCTGTTCTTATTTCTCAACCAAAGAACAAAATGTACGTACAGCAGCTATATAAAGCCCATGCAAGACGACAAACAATGCGACGTCGTGTCGACTTAAGCAAAACGACGTCGCTGCCTACTTAAGATGAAAAGGAAAAAAAACGGTGTCGCATACACACAAAACGACACCGTAAATGCAACAGAAATAAAGCGGGAAAATGCAAATAGAAGAACAATTTGATCTGCACTTCTTCACTCCAATATAAGCTGCGATCTCGATCTTCAACACCCGCCCCTCAAGTTGGGCCATGGAAAACGTCAAGCATGTCCAACTTGGACACAAGAGCAGCAAAACGTGCACCAGCAACAACTTTAGTAAAGAGGTCCGCAAGCTGATGCAATGAGCCAACAAACCTAGGAGAAATGAAGCCTTGCTTGTATTTGTCTCGCACAATGTGACAGTCTATTTTCAGATGCTTGGTACGTTCATGGAACACTGGATTTGCTGTGATATGCATAGCGGCCTGATTATCACACCAAAGTGGAATAGGAAAGTCAAGTGAGACATGAAACTCCTGAGCCAAATAGTGAAGCCACAGTAACTCAGAGACTGTAAAACCCATGGCTCTATACTCAGCCTCTGCTGAAGATTTAGAGACCGTGTGCTGCTTCTTGCTTTTCCAAGAGATAAGACTATCACCAAGAAAGATGCAGAAGCTTGTTATGGATCTCCTCGTGTCCTTACAGGTTGCCCAATCAGCATCACAATAGGCAACAAGAGTGAAAGCAGATGACTTGTAAGGATAAAACAGACCAAGAGCAGGTGTTCCTTTCAAGTACCTCAAGATGTGCAAGGCTGCATGCCAATGAGAATCATGTGGATTATTGATGAATTGACTGAGCTGTTGGACTGCATATGTGACATCAGGTCTAGTGAGCCCAAGATACAACAGTTTTCCAATAAGTCTCCTAAACAATTCTGGTTCAGTCATAGCTTTTCCAGTTTGTGCTTCTAGTCTGATACCCAATGACAAGGGTGTAGGGGATGTTGTGCAGTCCAACATCTTTAAATCAGCAAGAATATCAAGAATATATTTTCTCTGACATAAGAAAACACCTTTGGAACAATAGGTGAATTCAACACCTAAGAAGAACTTAGCAACTCCAAGATCCTTGATAGTGAACTGATTATGAAGAAACTGCTTCAGGCCATGAATTAAATCAACTGAAGAACTTGTAACCAGGACATCATCAACATATACAAGCAATGCCATAAAATCTGATTCCTTAGTAGCAGTGAAGAGACAATGATCATAGGAGGATTGTATAAGACCATAAAGTGATAGCTTTCTGCACAACTCATGGTTCCACTCCCTTGAAGCCTGTTTGAGGCCATAGAGGCTCTTAATTAACCTACATACTTGCCCAGGTTTGGCTTTATCATATCCCAAAGGTGGAGTCATGAACACCTCTTCAGAAAGTGTCCCATGTAGAAAAGCATTATTCACATCTAACTGGTGAATAACCCATCCTCTATGAATTGTTGTGGCAATAAAGAATCTGACTGTCACTAGTCTAGCCACAGGTGAAAACACATCAAAGTAATTGATTCCTTCTACCTGATTATACCCTTTAGCCACCAGTCTAGCTTTATGCCTCTCAACTGAACCATCAGCCTTTCTCTTGATCTTGTAAACCCATTTACTCCCTATTGCTTTCTTTCCTTGTGGCAGCTCAGTGATTTCCCAAGTATGATTGTCCTCCAAGGCATCTAACTCCATTTGCATTGCCTGAACCCAAGAGGGATGTAAGACAACCTCTTTATAATGAGTAGGTTCTTTGTCTGTTGATATATTGCCCAAAAACTCCAGGTGGGACAAAGAGTAGTCATGATCAATGACACAAGAATTATCTGACTGTTGTGTGACTGAGGTTCCTCCACATACATAATCATGGTGCCATCTAGGTGCTTCTCTTGTTCTCCCACTTCTTCTTATTCCTTCTTCATTATTAAGGGATGACCTTTCTTGCTCATTAACCACTGGAATCTGTGATGTATCATCTCTAGCTGCCTGAGGTATCACCATCTGATTTGTATCTGTTGTAACATGTGGAAATATGTCATCAAAAAAGGTCACATCTCTGGATATGAAGCATTCTCCAGTGTCCACATTATACAACTGAAAACCTTTGTTTCCTGGTGCAAACCCCAAGAATACACATTTGCTGCCTCTGGGTTCATATTTAGATTTGAAAGGATGCACCTTAGCTGCATAAGTCAGGCAGCCAAAGGGTTTCAACTTGGTATAGTCTGGGGCCTTTCCATATATCCTTTCAAATGGTGTTGTCCAATGTAAAAGAGCACTAGGTAATCTGTTAATGATAAAGGCAGCAGTTAAAATAGAGTAGGGCTAAAACTTTATAGGAAGTTGTGATTGGTAGATCAATGCTCTTCCAATTTCCAGAAGTTGTCTGTGTTTTCTTTCAACCACCCCGTTTTGTTGGGGTGTATACACACAACTAGTCTCATGAATCATTCCTTTCCCCTTGAAGAAATCCTGCAACTCTTTTCCCAAAAACTCTTTTCCATTGTCTGTTCTTACCTTCTTGACAGTTGTTTCAAATTGTTTTTCCACCATCAGAATGAATTCACTCAGAAGTTTGGAAGCCTGTGACTTTTGCTCCATTAAAAACACCCACACTCCTCTGCAGTAATCATCTACCACTGTTAAGAAGAAAGATGTACCAGTTATGGCTTCTTCTTTGCAAGGGCCCCAGATATCTGCATGTAACATTTCAAACTTTCTGGCTGCATGTATAGTACTCAATTGAAAAGGTAGTCTGTGTTGTTTAGCTTTATGACAAACTTCACAGGACTTGATTCTCTTCTCATCTGCATCCTTATATTTTCCTTTGATGAACTGCAAATGCTGTAAGGTGCTAATGCTTGCATGCCCAAGGCATTGATGCCACTGCTCCAGAGAGAAGTTGGAACTAACACTGTTTGCATGCACCACACTTTCTTTATCTAGGATGTATAGATTTCTTCTTGAAATTCCTTTACCAATAAGCTCTCCAGTATCACAATGATGTAGTAAGCAAGAAGTGGATGAGAATGAGCATCTGACCTTTTCATCTAAGCACAACTGGCTTACTGAAAGCAAATTATACTTGAAATCTGGCACCAACAGTACATCATGTAGAGTTAAAGTGCTGCTTAAAGTCACTTGCCCCAAAATATTCACCCTTTTGTTTGTTCCATCTGGTAGACAGATAGTCACAGGATCCTTCAAGATAGAAGTGTTCTTCATTAAACTCCTATCACCACACATATGCTTGCTTGCTCCAGTGTCTATTATCCATTCACTGCAACTCACATCCTTTGCTGTAGTTAGTGCAAATTGCATCTCATCATCCATTCCTTTTCCTGTAAAACTCACCATCTGTGCATAATCAATTCTATTTTATGTACTCTCTTTCCCCTTTAATAACTGTGTGAGCTCCTGCAATTGTTTAACAACTAGTGAAAGCTAATTCTCCTTTCCAATCTTCTTTTCCATCCCTGATTCCTTCCATTCCTCACTTTCATCACAATAATCAATACTATTTGCATAGTTCACTCCCTGAGCTTTCAAATCCTTGTACCACTCAGGTACAC